GCACTCCCTTTAAGAGACTGCTTCTAATCTCAGCTTGTTACCTGTATGAGAGACACCTGGGAGCCAGAAATCCTGCTGAATGATAGGGGATCAAATCCTTCTTTCCCTCATGAACATGCAGATCCGTCATCATTTGTTAGACGCATTTCTGCTGAATTTGTTGTTGTATTCTGTCTCTCAGTGTTACACCAAACATTCCATTGTTAGACCGATCGTTTCTGTGTGAGGGGCGAACATTCCATTGTTAGACCGATCATTTCTGTGTGAGGGGCGAACATTCCATTGTTAGACCGATCATTTCTGTGTGAGGGGCGAACATTCCATTGTTAGACCGATCATTTCTGTGTGAGGGGCGAACATTCCATTGTTAGACCGATCGTTTCTGTGTGAGGGGCGAACATTCAGAATCAGAGGGGAGCAAATACACATTTCCTGCACTGTATTATGTACAGTTCTCCTCCATTGTATCTCCTAGATTGTAAGCTCCCAGGATCAGCTCCTCCTATCCCTCTTGTATTGTCTCCCGTTATATTGTACAGCGCTGAGCAGACTGTTGGCGCCATAAATCCTGTATAATAATAATAATAATATGTACAGGTCTCCTCTATACCCAGTGAAGGAAATGCGTATTTGCTCCCCGGCTGATGTTGAATGTTCGCCCCTCACACAGAAATGATCGGTCTAACAATGGAATGTTCGCCCCTCACACAGAAATGATCGGTCTAACAAAGGAATGTTCACCCCTCACACAGAAATGATCGGTCTAACAAAAGGAATGTTCGCCCCTCACACAGAAATGATCAGTCTAACAATGGAATGTTCGCCCCTCACACAGAAATGATCGGTCTAACAATGGAATGTTGGCCCCTCACACAGAAATGATCGGTCTAACAATGGAATGTTCGCCCCTCACACAGAAATGATCGGTCTAACAATGGAATGTTGGCCCCTCACACAGAAATGATCGGTCTAACAATGGAATGTTGGCCCCTCACACAGAAATGATCGGTCTAACAATGGAATGTTCGCCCCTCACACAGAAATGATCGGTCTAACAATGGAATGTTCGCCCCTCACACAGAAATGATCGGTCTAACAATGGAATGTTCACCCTTCACACAGAAATGATCGGTCTAACAATGGAATGTTCGCCCTCACACAGAAATGATCGGTCTAACAATGGAATGTTGGCCCCTCACACAGAAATGATCGGTCTAACAATGGAATGTTGGCCCCTCACACAGAAAAATGATCGGTCTAACAATGGAATGTTGGCCCCTCACACAGAAATGATCGGTCTAACAATGGAATGTTCGCCCCTACACAGAAATGATCGGTCTAACAAAGGAATGTTCGCCCCTCACACAGAAATGATCGGTCTAACAATGGAATGTTCGCCCCTCACACAGAAATGATCAGTCTAACAATGGAATGTTCGCCCCTCACACAGAAATGATCGGTCTAACAATGGAATGTTGGCCCCTCACACAGAAATGATCGGTCTAACAATGGAATGTTCGCCCCTCACACAGAAATGATCGGTCTAACAATGGAATGTTGGCCCCTCACACAGAAATGATCGGTCTAACAATGGAATGTTGGCCCCTCACACAGAAATGATCGGTCTAACAATGGAATGTTGGCCCCTCACACAGAAATGATCGGTCTAACAATGGAATGTTGGCCCCTCACACAGAAATGATCGGTCTAACAATGGAATGTTCGCCCCCTCACACAGAAATGATCGGTCTAACAATGGAATGTTCGCCCCTCACACAGAAATGATCGGTCTAACAATGGAATGTTGGCCCCTCACACAGAAATGATCGGTCTAACAATGGAATGTTCGCCCCTCACACAGAAATGATCGGTCTAACAATGGAATGTTGGCCCCTCACACAGAAATGATCGGTCTAACAATGGAATGTTGGCCCCTCACACAGAAATGATCGGTCTAACAATGGAATGTTGGCCCCTCACACAGAAATGATCGGTCTAACAATGGAATGTTCGCCCCTCACACAGAAATGATCGGTCTAACAATGGAATGTTGGCCCCCTCACACAGAAAATGATCGGTCTAACAATGGAATGTTCACCCCTCACACAGAAATGATCGGTCTAACAATGGAATGTTCGCCCTCACACAGAAATGATCGGTCTAACAATGGAATGTTGGCCCTCACACAGAAATGATCGGTCTAACAATGGAATGTTGGCCCCCTCACACAGAAATGATCGGTCTAACAATGGAATGTTGGCCCCTCACACAGAAATGATCGGTCTAACAATGGAATGTTCGCCCCTCACACAGAAATGATCGGTCTAACAATGGAATGTTCGCCCCTCACACAGAAATGATCGGTCTAACAATGGAATGTTCGCCCCTCACACAGAAATGATCGGTCTAACAATGGAATGTTGGCCCCTCACACAGAAATGATCGGTCTAACAATGGATTGTTCCCCCTCACACAGAAATGATCGGTCTAACAATGGAATGTTCGCCCCTCACACAGAAATGATCGGTCTAACAATGGAATGTTCGCCCCTCACACAGAAAAATGATCGGTCTAACAATGGAATGTTCGCCCCTCACACAGAAATGATCGGTCTAACAATGGAATGTTCGCCCCTCACACAGAAACGATCGGTCTAACAATGGAATGTTCGCCCCTCACACAGAAATGATCGGTCTAACAATGGAATGTTCGGTGTAACACTGAGAGACAGAATACAACAACAAATTCACCAGAAATGCGTCTAACAAATGATGCAAAAAACCAACAAGACTTTTGCACAAGAACAGACATAAGATCACCAATGAGGACGCTTCCCATCCCGCGATCGCTCAGGAAGGTGAGTTCTATTACCGCCCCCCCCAATACTTTTCCTGCTTTGGTCTGATTCCCATCTTCGGATCGCTAGGGTTGTTTTCTCTCTCCTGACTATTCTAAAAATAAAGCACCTCCCCCCCCCCCCGCACGGTCCCTATAATGAGCCGGTATTAGTCATCTATATAACCAGGGAGCTGAATGCAAGGAGCACAAAGCCGGGTGTTCTGCCCTGCCGCAGTCCCAGGCCGCCCCCCCCCCCCAGTCCCAGGCCGCCCCCCCCCCCAGCTCCAGGCAGTCCCCCCCCAGTCCCAGGCCGCCCCCCCCCAGCTCCAGGCAGTCCCCCCCCAGTTCCAGGCAGTACCCCCCAGTCCCAGGCCGCCCCCCCCCCCCAGTTCCAGGCAGAACCCCCCCAGTCCCAGGCTGCCCCCCCCCCCCAGCTCCAGGCAGTCCCCCCCCCAGTCCCAGGCTGCCCCCCCCCCACGGGTGAGCCCCGCTTTGTCTCCGATTCCTCTGTCAGGCGGTATTTAGGGGCCGCAGATGGGAGCATTGCTGCTAATTACAGGTTAGCCGGGAACTTGACATGTTCAGTGGGGTTGTGTAATCGCAGGGGGGGGGGGGGCGGAGTGTACCATTCATTGGGTGCAGCAGGGGGCGACACACAGATGGAGCGGATTCTGCTGCATGACCTGAGTTACTCCGCGCTCAGCAACTTCACGAGTCTGCGTACATCTCCCCATCTACAGCAACACAACCATTCTACAGGAGCCTTCATTCCACCCCGGCTGAGGGGATGTCACCAGTCTGCTGCAGGCTGGGGGAAGCGTTTCCTCAGTCTCTCCTCCCCAGTGATCAGACTGTACATTGTAACTTTGTAGGAGGAGGTGGCATTTCCTCAGTCCCCCCTCCCCCAGTGATCAGACTGTACACTGTAACATTGTAGAAGGAGGAGTAATTTCCTCAGTTTCCCCATCCCCCGGTGATCAGACTGTACATTGTAACTTTGTAGGAGGAGGCATTTCCTCAGTCTCCTCCCCCAGTGATCAGACTGTACACTGTAACATTGTAGAAGGAGGAGTCATTTCCTTAGTCTCCCCCTCCCCCAGCAAGTCACAAGGTGAGAGGCTGCAGCAGGGGCTGATCTGTGTCAGACATTTGTGAACACAGCCAGGAAGTGCTCCAGGATTTAAATAAATGTCATCTCAGTCCAGGAAGTAGAAGGTGGCCCTGGATGATGCCTGAACAAGGATGGTGCCACCCTCTTGCGGAGCAAAGCAGATGAAGGCGTTGTCAGGAGGAGTCCTGTGATCTGTGAGAGGTCTGGAGGCGTCTCTCTGACTTATTACGTAAAGTGCTTGTAAAGGAAAATAAATATATAAATCCCTAACATTACTTTCCTGCTCTGCGCAGTATATAGAAACGTTTTGTAGTGGGTGGAGCCTGCTGAGCCCCTCCCACAGCTCTGCTCTCTGCACAAGATACGCACAGCGCAGTGGTGCTGTCACTGTTACTTTTACAAGGTAATATCTGGGTTTGCACAGGGATTTGTGGCTAGAGAGGATTACATGGAAATGGATTGTGCCCAGAGATCGCAGTGGTAGACGTGACCGCGGCCCGACCTCTGGCTACACCTGTGCAAGACTGAAGGGGAGGAGCCACCTGTGCAAGAATAAAGGGGAGGAGCCATTACACCTGTGCAAGAGTAAAGGGGAGGAGCCGGCACGCCTGTGCAAGACTGAAGGGGAGGGGCTGGTACACCTGTGCAAGACTGAAGGGGAGGGGCTGGTACACCTGTGCAAGACTGGAGGGGAGGAGCCGGTACACCTGTGCAAAAACTGAAGGGGGGGAGCCAATACACCTGTGCAAGAGTAAAGGGGAGGAGCTGGTACACCTGTGCAAGACTGAAGGGAGGAGCCGGTACACCTGTGCAAGACTGGAGGGGAGGAGCCAGTACACCTGTGCAAGACTGAAGGGGAGGAGCCAGTACACCTGTGTAAGACTGAAGGGGAGGAGCCAGTACACCTGTGCAAGACTGAAGGGGAGGAGCCAGTACACCTGTGCAAGACTGAAGGGGAGGAGCTGGTTGGACATGTCTGTCCATCATCTCTCGGCATCTTTAAGTATGAATTAAAAAAAAAAAAAAAAAACGATTATTGGAGGATCGGTACCGTTGTGTCCACGGCAGGGACTGTGTTGGTGGCGATGTGCTTCTGGGGCGGGTCATCCTTGGAGACAATCACACATCCTTCCCCTCCCAGTGTCACCAGGACCAGGTGACACCCGCGCTCCAGCAGTGCACGGCCGGCCCTTCCTGCATCATCGCGGCTGCTCACCGAAATTCCCGTTAGGATCTCCGCCTGGGGAACAAACATGAGGCGGTGTCACTCAACTGATGAGAGTGACACCAACATTCTGTACATTACAGTCAATGGGAACCTGAATGTAGAAACCTTCACTACTGATACTCACCGCTGCAGCACCTCCACTACTGATACTCACCGCTGCAGCACCTCCACTACTGATACTCACCGCTGCAGCACCTCCACACCACTGATACCGCTGCAGCAGCACCCCCCACCACTGATACTCACCGCTGCAGCACCTCCACACCACTGATACTCACCGCTGCAGCACCTCCCCATCACTGATACTCACCGCTGCAGCATCTCCACTACTGATACTCACCGCTGCAGCACCTCCCCACCACTGATACTCACCGCTGCAGCATCTCCACTACTGATACTTACCGCTGCAGCATCTCCCCACCACTGATGATACTCACCGCTGCAGCACCTCCACACCACTGATACTCACCGCTGCAGCACCTCCACACCACTGATACTCACCGCTGCAGCACCTCCCCACCACTGATACTCACCGCTGCAGCACCTCCACACCACTGATACTCACCGCTGCAGCACCTCCCCACCACTGATACTCACCGCTGCAGCACCTCCCCACCACTGATACTCACCGCTGCAGCACCTCCACACCACTGATACTCACCGCTGCAGCACCTCCACACCACTGATACTCACCGCTGCAGCACCTCCCCACCACTGATACTCCCTGCTCCAGCACCTCCCCACCACTGATACTCACCGCTGCAGCACCTCCCCACCACTGATACTCCCTGCTCCAGCACCTCCCCACCACTGATACTCACCACTGCAGCATCTCCTTGCCACCCCTTCCGTGTCCTTTAGGATATGAGGGTGTATGTGAGCTCCTCCCAGAAAGCAGGGCTCAGGCCATTCCCCAGGTCTGAACATGTCATTTATTGAAGAGGAGGAAGGAGTTACCCTGTGTAAGCTCCATCACCACCCAACACAGAGCTTACACAGAGCGAACGCCTCCCTCCTCTTCATCAGATAACAGTGTTCAGGGCTGGGGATTGGCCCGAGCCCCGCTTCCTGGGAGGAGTTAGGACTCACGGATCCAATGGAGGAAAGCTGCGAAGGTGAAGGGCGGTGACGGTATCAGCAGTGGAGCTTGCCCGCCATTTTGCCTGAATGTGCCGGGAGTGTCCAGAGTACAGTCATCCTTCTACCCCCTCCCCCACCCCCATGTATACTTACCTCACCTTGGCCATGGCCAGAACAGTCTGCGGCACCTTCACCCGCCTGCTGCTGTGCAGTACAACTCCATAGACTCCTATGAGGTCCACTGAGGAGCCAATCAAAAGGCAACTCCATAGAAGTTTATGGGGTTCCAAGACCAGCCAGAGGAAAGAAGAGCTTGTCTGGAGGAGATGAGGATTCCAAATGCAAATGGAAGTTTGGAAATAAACCCTTTCTGTTTTCATACAATCGACATATCATCACTGGGTCTCTGTGCTTCTCAAGGCAATGCAGGCAGATCGTGGCCAGAGGGAGGGGGCTCTACATAGCTTCCTGACAACATCACAGCACCCTGCCTCAGTGCTCCTCTCAAAAGCCCTCACTCCTGACTCAAGCAGCCGGCTGGCCCTTGGAAGGAGCTAGCAAATATTCATTCCCTCGACCTTCTCGGCAGACGCACCACCTCCCTGTGTGGGTCACCCTGAAGCCTCCTTGTACAGGGCCAGCGGTGGGTGCCGATTGCTGGCGGAAGGAGACATCCGATGTATTATAGGATGGCGGTCTCACCTCGCTCTCATTACAGCAGAAGATGTCGGAGTGGGTGAAGAATTGCGCGTCCAGGTCCGCGACGGCCGGCGCCGGGTTGAAGATCGTCTTCACTAGAAATAATGGATGAAAAAGGACGGTAAGGAAACCGAGAACAATCTGTGTGTCTGCGAGAGTTGTCACCGTCATCTCTACAAGACAGGAAGTGAGGAAATATTTCCCCAAAAGAGGGACGCACCCAGCACTGAAAACCCCCACATGGAAAAATATTCTTCCCAAATATATTGCCATATACAGTGGGGCAAAAAAGTATTTAGTCCCCACAATTGTGCAAGTTCTCCCCTTACAGAGATGAGAGAGGCCTGTAATTGGCATCATAGGGAGACCTCAACTATGAGAGACAAAATGAGAAAACAAATCCAGACAATCTCATTGGCTGATCTGGAAAGAATTTATTTGCAAATTATGGTGGAAAATAAGTATTTGGTGAATATGAAAAGTTCATGTCAATACTTTGTTATGTATCCTTTGTTGGCAATGACAGAGGTCAGACGTTTCCTGGAAGTCCTCACAAGGTTGGCACACACTGTTGCTGGTATATCAGCCCATCCTCCATGCAGATCTCCTCCTCCATGCAGATCTCCTCCTCCATGCAGATCTCCTCTAGAGCAGTGATGTTTTGGGGCTGTCGCTGGGCAACACGGACTTTCAACTCCCTCCAAAGGTTTTCTATGGGGTTGAGATCTGGAGACTGGCTAGGCCACTCCAGGACCTTGAAATGCTTCTTACGAAGCCACTCCTTCGTTGCCCGGGCGGTATGTTTGGGATCATTGTCATGTTGGAAGACCCAGCCACGTTTCATCTTCAATGCCCTTGCTGATGGAAGGAGGTTTGCACTCAAAATCTCACGATACATGGCCCCATTCATTCTGTCCTGTACATGGATCAGTCGTCCTGGTCCCTTTGCGGAGAAACAGCCCCAAAGCATGATGTTGCCACCCCCATGCTTCACAGTAGGTATGGTGTTCTTTGGATGCAACTCAGCATTCTCTCTCCTCCAAACACGACGAGTTGTGTTTCTACCAAACAGTTGTATTTTGGTTTCATCTGACCATATGACATTCTCCCAATCCTCTTCTGGATCATCCAAATACTCTCTAGCAAACTTCAGACGGGGCCCCGGACATGTACTGGCTTAAGCAGGGGGACACGTCTGGCACTGCAGGATCTGAGTCCCTGGGGGCGTAGTGTGTTACTGATGGTAGCCTTTGTTACGCTGGTCCCAGCTCTCTGCAGATCATTCACTAGGTCCCCCCGTGTGGTCCTGGGATTTTTGCTCGCCGTTCTTGTGATCATTTTGACCCCACGGGGTGAGATCTTGCGTGGAGCCCCAGATCGAGGGAGATTATCAGCGGTCTTGTATGTCTTCCATTTTCTAATTATTGCTCCCACAGTTGATTTGTTCACACCAAGCTGCTTGCCTATTGCAGATTCCAGTCTTCCCAGCCTGGTGCAGGTCTACAATTTTGTTTCTGGTGTCCTTCGACAGCTCTTTGGTCTTCACCATAGTGGAGTTTGGAGTGTGACTGTTTGAGGTTGTGGACAGGTGTCTTTTATACTGATAACAAGTTCAAACAGGTGCCATTGATACAGGTAATGAGTGCAGGACAGAGGAGCCTCTTAAAGAAGAAGGTCCAGGTCTGTGAGAGCCAGAAATCTTGCTTGTTTGTAGGAGACCAAATACTTATTTTCCACCATAATTTGCAAATAAATTCTTTCCAGATCAGCCAATGAGATTGTCTGGATTTGTTTTCTCATTTTGTCTCTCATAGTTGAGGTCTCCCTATGATGCCAATTACAGGCCTCTCTCATCTCTGTAAGTGGGAGAACTTGTACAATTGGTGGGGACTAAATACTTTTTTGCCCCAATGTATATGAAATGCTACAATTGTGGCCATAGTCAATATATTTAAAAAAAAAATATATATATATAGATACAGTGCAGGAAATGTGTATTTGCTCCCCCCTGATGCTGAATGTTCGCCCATCCACCACCCATTTTCACTGCCCTGGCTGAGGGAAGAAGGTTCTCACCCAAGATTTGAGGTACATTGCCCTGTCCATCGTCCCTTTGATACGGTGCAGTTGTCCTTTCCCCTTGGCAGAAACACCCCCAAAGCAGAATGTTTCCACCACCATGTTTCACAGTTGGGATGGTGTTCTTGGGGTCATAGGCAGCATTCCTCCTCCTCCAAACACGGCGAGTTGAGTTGATGCCAAAGAGCTGGATTTTGGTCTCCTCTGACCACAACACTTCCCACCAGTCCTCCTCTGCATCATTCAGATGTTCAGTGGCAGACTTCAGACGGGCCTGGACATGGCTTTCTTGAGCAGAGGGACCGTGCGGGCACTGCAGGATTTCAGTCCTTGTCGACGTAGTGTGTTACCAATTGTTTTCTTGGTGACTGTGGTCCCAGCTGCCTGGAGATCATTGACAAGATCCTCACGTGTAGTTCTGGGATGATTCCTCACTGTTCTCATGATCATTGACACTCCACGAGGGGAGATCTTGCATGGTGCACCAGACCTAGGGAGACTGACACTTGTTTTGTGTTTCTTCCATTTGTGAATGATTGCACCAACTGTTGTCACCTTCTCACCAAGCTGCTTGGCCATAGTTTGGTAGCCCAGTCCAGCCTTGTGTAGGTCTACCATCTTGTCCCTGACATCCTTGGACAGCTCTTTGGTCTTTGTCATGGTGGAGAGTTTGGAATCTGATGGTTTGATGGCTCCTGTGGACAGGTGTCTTTTATACAGGTAACACAATGAGATTAGCAGCACTCCCTTTAAGAGACTGCTTCTAATCTCAGCTTGTTACCTGTATGAGAGAAACCTGGGAGCCAGAAATCCTGCTGAATGATAGGGGATCAAATCCTTCTTTCCCTCATGAACATGCAGATCAGTCATCATTTGTTAGACGCATTTCTGCTGAATTGTTGTTGTATTCTGTCTCTCAGTGTTACACCGAACATTCCATTGTTAGACCGATCATTTCTGTGTGAGGGGCGAACATTCCATTGTTAGACCGATCGTTTCTGTGTGAGGGGTGAACATTCCATTGTTAGACCGATCATTTCTGTGTGAGGGGGAACATTCCATTGTTAGACCGATCATTTCTGTGTGAGGGGCAAACATTCCATTGTTAGACCGATCATTTCTGTGTGAGGGGCGAACATTCCATTGTTAGACCGATCATTTCTGTGTGAGGGGTGAACATTCCATTGTTAGACCGATCATTTCTGTGGTGAGGGGTGAACATTCCATTGTTAGACCGATCATTTCTGTGTGAGGGGTGAACATTCCATTGTTAGACCGATCATTTCTGTGTGAGGGGCCAACATTCCATTGTTAGACCGATCATTTCTGTGTGAGGGGCGAACATTCCATTGTTAGACCGATCATTTCTGTGTGAGGGGCGAACATTCCACATCAGCCAGGGAGCAAATACGCATTTCCTGCACTGTACACAGAGCACACGGTATATAGAGTACACAGTACACAGAGGCACACAGTATACAGAGCACACGGTATACAGGGCACACGGTATATAGAGTACACGGTACACAGAGCACACAGTATATAGAGCACACAGTATACAGAGCACACGGTACACAGAGCACACGGTATACAGAGCACACGGTATACAGAGCACACGGTACACAGAGCACACAGTATACAGAGCACACGGTATACAGAGCACACGGTACACAGAGCACACAGTATACAGAGCACACGGTATACGGGGCACACGGTACACAGGGCACACGGTACACAGGGCACACGGTACACAGAGCACACGGTACACACAGCACACGGTACACAGAGCACACGGTGTATAGAGCACACGGTATATAGAGCACTCGGTATACAGAGCACACGGTATACAGAGCACACGGTATACAGAGCACACGGTATACAGAGTACACGGTATATAGAGCACAAACGGTATACAGAGTACACAGTATATAGAGCACACAGTATATAGAGTACACGGTATACAGAGCACACGGTATATAGAGCACACGGTATATAGAGCACACAGTATACAGAGTACACAGTGTATAGAGTACACGGTATACGGGGCACACGGTACACAGAGCACACAGTATATAGAGCACACGGTATATAGAGCACACGGTATACAGGGCACACGGTATATAGAGCACACGGTAATCTATAGAGCACATGGTATATAGAGCACACGGTATATAGAGCACACGGTATACAGGGCACACGGTATATAGAGCACACGGTATATAGAGCACACGGTATATAGAGTACACGGTATATAGAGCACACGGTATATAGAGCACACGGTATATAGAGCACCACGGTATATAGAGCACACGGTATATAGAGTACACGGTATATAGAGCACACGGTATATAGAGCACACGGTATATAGAGTACACAGTATACAGAGCACACAGTATACAGAGCACACGGTATACACACAGTATATAGAGCACACAGTATACAGAGCACACGGTATACGGGGCACACGTTACACAGGGGTGGACACGGTACACAGGGCACACGGTACACAGAGCACACGGTACACAGAGCACACGGTACACAGAGCACACGGTACACAGAGCACACGGTGTATAGAGCACTCACGGTATATAGAGCACTCGGTATACAGAGCACACTCGGTATACAGAGCACACGGTATACAGAGCACACGGTATACAGAGCCACGGTGTGCACACGGTATATAGAGCACACGGTATACAGTACACGGTATACAGAGCACACGGTATATAGAGCACACGGTATATAGAGTACACGGTATACAGAGCACACGGTATATAGAGCACACGGTATACAGGGCACACGGTATATAGAGCACACGGTATATAGAGTACACGGTATATAGAGCACACGGTATATTGAGCACACAGTATACAGAGTACACAGTGTATAGAGCCTTACACGGTATACGGGGCACACTTACACAGAGCACACAGTATATAGAGCACACGGTATATAGAGCACACGGTATACAGAGCACCCGGTATACAGAGTACACGGTATACAGAGCACACGGTATATAGAGCACACGGTATATAGAGCACACGGTATACAGAGCACACGGTATACAGAGCACACGGTATATATAGAGTACACGGTATATAGAGCACACGGTATACTGAGCACACGGTATACAGAGCACACAGTATATAGAGCACACGGTTGTGCAGAGCACACGGTATATAGAGCACACGGTATACAGAGTACACGGTATACAGAGCACACGGTATATAGAGCACACGGTATATAGAGCACACGGTATATAGAGTACACGGTATATAGAGCACACGGTATATAGAGTACACGGTATACGGGGCACACGGTACACAGAGCACACAGTATATAGAGCACACGGTATATAGAGCACACGGTATACAGAGCACACGGTATACAGAGCACACGGTATATAGAGCACACGGTATATAGAGCACACGGTATACAGAGCACACGGTATATAGAGTACACGGTATATAGAGCACACGGTATACAGAGCACACGGTATACAGAGCACACGGTATATAGAGCACACGGTATACAGAGCACACGGTATATAGAGTACACGGTATATAGAGCACACGGTATACAGAGTACCACGGTATACAGAGCACACGGTATATAGAGCACACGGTATATAGAGCACACGGTATACAGAGCACACGGTATACAGAGCACACGGTATATAGAGTACACAGTATATAGAGTACACAGTATATAGAGCACACAGTATACAGAGCCCCTGCAGTGATGAAAGGTTTCTGATCTGAATCAGCTGCAGCCGCTCTGTGGCCCCTTCTAACTAACGGCTCTGCAGATTCGGGGGCCCCACAGCTGGGGACAATCATCCCCTGTGAAGGGGGGGGGGGTGTTCCTCTAACAACCTCTCCATTTTTTATAATAAATGTGGAATGTGCCCCCCCCCCCCCCCCCCCGGCACGCTCGGACGGCGGGCAGCAGATCAAACGCCTGGCGTATTTAATGGATCTCTTTATAGAGGGATCTGCAGGTCTACAGCCCGGGGTCATTACCTCCGGGGGGCCCCCCCGCTCCCACATGGTGCTGGTACCTGACTCAATTACTGGGGCTTAGAGCCCCCCCAATGAGCCTCCAAGATGGCCTCTGGAGGAACACCAGATCTGTGCCATGGAGAGCTGTTAAAGCAGAACTCCGGGATAATAGATCCATCGGTCATGTGACTTCTGGAATCTCAGTGAGCTTTGTGTATATTCCAGATCTGGGCAGTAATCTGGTGTGAGACTTCCTGGAATAAAGACCGCTCGCTGCTGCCCTCTCTCCTTGTGCAGGGTGAGTGGTCTGGTCTCCGCCCCCTCCTGTAGTTTTCTGTAGTGGGTGGAGCCTTCTGGGCCCCTCCCACAGCTCTTCTCTGCCCTCTCTCCTTGTGCAGGGTGAGTGGTCTTGTCTCCGCCCCCTCCTGTAGTTTTCTGTGGTGGGTGGAGCCTTCTGGGCCCCTCGTACAACTCTTCTCTGCTCTCTCTCCTTGTGCAGGGGACTGGTCTGGTCTCCGCCCCCTCCTGTAGTGGGTAGAGCCTTCTTGGCCCCTCCCACAGATCTGCTCTCTCTCCTTTTGCAGGGGACTGGTCTTGTCTCCGCTCCCTCCTGTAGTTTTCTGTAGTGGGTGGAGCATTCTGGCCCCTCCCACTTCTCTGCTCTCTCTTCTTGTGCAGAGGGACTGGTCTGGTCTCCACCCCCTTCTGTAGTTTTCTTTAGTGGGTGGAGCCTTCTGGGTCCCTCACACTTCTCTGCTCTCTCTTCTTGCGCAGAGGGACTGGTCTGGTCTCCACCCCCTTCTGTAGTTTTCTTTAGTGGGTGGAGCCTTCTAGGCCCCTCCCACTTCTCTGCTCTCTTTCCTTGTGCAGGGTGACTGGTCTGGTTTCTGCCCCCTCCTGTAGTTTTCTGTAGTGGGTGGAGCCTTCTGGGCCCCTCCCACTGCTCTTCTTTGTCTCTTCTTGTGCGGGAGGACTGGTCTTGTCTCCACTCCCTCCTGTAGTGGGTGCAGTCTTTGGGCCCCCCCACTTCTCTGCTCTCTCTCCTTGTGCAGGGGGACTGGCCTGGCCTCCACCCCCCTCCTGTAGTTTTCTGTAGTGGGTGGAGCCTTCTGGGTCCCTCCCACAGATCTACTCTCTCGTGCAGCAAGACTGGTCTTGTCTCCACCCCCTCCTGTAGTTTTCTGTAGTGGGTGGAGCCTGTTGGGCCCCTTCCACATCTCTGCTCTCTGAAGATGTCACTGCTACATTTACAAGGTAATATCTGAGATCTGATTTTGTAAAAGCAATCAGTGCACACCAAGTGAATGTATATCCTTTGTGGCTATTCAGAAATACATCTGAGTACAGTTTTTGTGCCCGGGGTCCAGCTTGTAGAACTGATCTTAGAAGGGTTAAAACTACGTGAAATAGGCAATATATTCCTTCAGCATTCATCTCCAATTTTTTGTGTCAGAATGAGAATGTGTGTGTGCGAATAAAGCTTTGTACACACTGGCGCTGGATGCAGAAGCAGATCAGTCACCTCTGTGGCTCAGGAACATATTGGTGCTGGCCATCAGACTGTGGGAAAGCCTACTGAGAAGTATTGCTAGAAAATGGGCCTGCCACGCCACAGCAAAAAAAAATGTGGATTCATACTCAACGCAACACGTTACATTCGTATTAAGCATTCCGTTTATTGTATATGGCCGAACGTTTGTGGACACCTGACCATCACACCTACTGATATAGCCAAAAACATGTGGACCTCCTCTGGGTGAAGAACCTTTTCTGTTTCAGCATGACTATGACCCTGTGTACAAAGCCAGCTCCATGAAGACATGGGTTGACCAGTTTGGACCAGCTCCATGAAGACATGGGTTGACCAGTTTGGACCAGCTCCATGAAGACATGGGTTGACCAGTTTGGACCAGCTCCATAAAGATATGGGTTGACTGGTTTGGACCAGCTCCATAAAGACATGGGTTAACCAGTTTGGACCAGCTCCATAAAGACATGGGTTGACTGGTTTGGACCAGCTCCATAAAGACATGGGTTAACCATTTTTGGTGTGGAGGAACTCCAGTGTCCTCCACAGAGCCCTGACCCCATACCTACTTAACACCTTTGGGATGAATTGGAACTACCATGGTGAGCCAGGTCTTCTCATTCAAAATCAGTGACTGACCTCACAAATGTTCTTTTGCCTTAATGGACATAAAGTTCCTCAGACACACTCCAGAGTTTTGATGGAAGCTTTCCCAAAAAAGTGGAGCCAGCTCCATAAAGACATGAGTTGACCAGTTTGGACCAGCTCCGTGAAGACATGGGTTGACTAGTTTGGACCAGCTCCATAAAGACATGGGTTGACCAGTTTGGTGTGGAGGAACTCAAGTGTCCTCCACAGAGCCCTGACCTCCTCCCTACTGAACACCTTTGGGATGAATTGGAACTCCAATGGTGAGCCAAGTCTTCTCATCCAACATCAGTGGCTGACATCACAAATGTTCTTTTGGCTTAATGGACATAAAGTCCCTCAGACACACTCCAAACGTTTGTGGGAAGCCTTCCCAAAAGAGAGGAGCCAGCTCCATAAATACATGGTTTGACCAGTTTGGTGTGGAGGAACTGACCTCAACCCTACTGAACACCTTTGGGATGAATTTGAACACTGATGGTGAATCAGGTCTTCTCATCCAACATGAGTGGCTGACCTCATCAATGGGCACACATTTCCACAGACACCCTCCAAAATCTTGTGGAAAGCCTTCCTAGAAAAGTGGAGGAACTCAAGAGTCCTGACCTCAACCCTACTAAACTCCTTTGAACTGAATTGTTAGCCGGATCTTTTTTTTTTTTTTTTGGCACCCAACATATGAGTCAGTTCTTCTCATCCAACCCCAGTACCTACGAGCACACATTCCCACAGATACCTTCCAAAATCTTGTTCAAAGCCTTCCCAGAAGAGCAGAGGAACTCAAGAGTCCTGAACTCAATCCTATTGAACACCTTTGGGATGAACTGAATGCTAATTGTAAGCAAGGTCTTATTCAACATCAGTACCTTACATCACAAATGGGCACAAATTCCCACAGAGAAGCTCCAAAATCTTGTGGAAAGCCTTCCTAGAAGAGTGGAGGAAGTCAAGAGTCCTGACCTTAACCCTACTGAACACCATTGCACTGAATAGTTAGCCAGCTCTTTTATTTTGTGCCCAACATGGGGCCCAACATATGAGCCAGGTCTTCTCATCCAACATCAGTACCTGACCTCACCAATGGGCACAAATTCCCACAGACACCCTCCAATATCGTGTAGAAAGCCTTCCGAGAAGAGTAGAGGAAGTCAAGAGTCCTGACCTCAACCCACTGAACACCTTTGGGATGAATTAGATGCCAATTGTAGGCAAGGTCTTCTCATCCAACATCAGTACCTGACCTCACCAATGGGCACAAATTCCCACAGACACCCTCCAATATCTTGTGGAAAGCCTTCCCAGAGGAGTGGAAGCTGCCACAAAGAGGGTCAGTCCATATGGTCAGGTGTCCACTATATAGTGTGCAATTGGTGGCTGGTGTTTGGGGGCTTGCTGTGTTTGAAAGCATACAAATGAGGCCCAACGGAGAAGTTGGACAACTTACCTCCACTATTGCGCGCCATTTTTAAAGCTTCCAAGGACACCTGTGGACTTATCTCCAGCTGACACACCATCACCTTGGCACCACAAATAGCCTTAGAGGCCTTGGCCAAGTCTTCGGAATCCAGAAGTAGGTTGGCCCCAGCGACGATCACAATGGCGTTCTGGCCTGTGGAAGAAACAATGCTTATTGTGAAGAATAGCCGGCTCTAATCTATTCAAAATGTGGATCTGAAGATGCCTATATTTACTATTGTATAGTATTCCATTCTTTTCTATTCCTTTTTTTCTATTCTATTCTTTTCGAAACTCGAATTTCGGAAGATGGCTATATTCTTACTATTTTATTCTATTATATTCTTTTCTATTCTATTTTTTTTTATTTTCTATTCTATTAGAAATTCTGGAAGATGGCTATATTCTTACTATTTTATTCTATTATATTCTTTTTATTCTATTTTTTTTTTTATTTTCTATTCTATTAGAAATTCTGGAAGATGGCTATATTCTTACTATTTTATTCTATTACATTCTTTTCTATTCTATTTTTTTTTTTATTTCTATTCTATTAGAGAAATTTTGAAAGATGCTATTTTATTCTATTATATTCTTTTCTATTCTATTTTTTTTTAAATTTCTATTCTATTAGAAATTCTGGAAGATGGCTATATTCTTACTATTTTATTCTATTACATTCTTTTCTATTTTTTTTTTTTTTTTAATTTCTATTCTATTAGAAATTTTGGAAGATTGCTATATTCTTACTATTTTATTCTATTTTATTCTTTTCTATTCTATTTTTTTTTATTTTCTATTCTATTAGAAATTTTGAAAGATGCTATTTTATTCTATTATATTCTTTTCTATTCTATTTTTTTTATTTTCTATTCTATTATAAATTTTGGAAGATGGCTATATTCTTCATATTTTATTCTATTGTATTCTTTTCTATTCTATTTTTTTTGTATTTTCTATTCTATTCTTTCAGAAGTTTTGGAAGATGGCTATATTCTTCATATTTTATTCTATAGTATTCTTTTCTATTCTATTTTTTGTATTTTCAATTTTATTAGAAATTTCGGAAGATGGCTATATTCTTACTATTTTATTCTATTGTATTCTTTTCTATTCTATTTTTTTTTTTTTTCTATTCTATTCTTTCAGAAATGTCGGAAGATGGCTATATTCTTACTATTTTATTCTATTGTATTCTTTTCTATTCTATTTTTTTTATTTTCTATTCTATTCTTTCAGAAGTTTTGGAAGATGGCTATATTCTTACTATTTTATTCTATTGTATTCTTTTCTATTCTATTTTTTTTTATTTTTCTATTCTATTAGAAATTTTGGAAGATGGCTATATTCTTACTATTTTATTCTATTGTATTCTTTTCTATTCTATTTTTTTTATTTTTTCTATTAGAAATTTTGGAAGATGGCTATATTCTTCATATTTTATTCTATAGTATTCTTTTCTATTCTATTTTTTTTATTTTCTATATTTTATTAGAAATTTTGGAAGATGGCTATATTCTTCATATTTTATTCTATAGTATTATTTTCTATTCTATTTTTTTTTTATTTTCTATTCAATTCTTTCAGAAATTTCGGAAGATGGCTATATTCTTGCTATTTTATTCTATAGTATTCTTTTCTATTTTTTTTTAATTTTCTATTCTATTAGAAATTTTGGAAGATGGCTATATTCTTACTATTTTATTCTATTGTATTCTTTTCTATTCTATTTTTTTTTATTTTCTATTCTATTCTTTCAGAAATTTCGGAAGATGGCTATATTCTTACTATTTTATTCTATTGTATTCTTTTCTATTCTATTTTTTTTTATTTTCTATTCTATTCTTTCAGAAATTTTGGAAGATGGCTATATTCTTACTATTTTATTCTATTGTATTCTTTTCTATTCTATTTTTTTTTATTTTCTATTCTATTCTTTCAGAAATTTCGGAAGATGGCTATATTCTTACTATTTTATTCTACTGTTTTCTTTCCTATTCTGTACTTTTATTTTCTATTCTATTCTTTTTTGAAATTTGAACTTCGGAAAACAGCTATATGCTATTCTATTTGATTTTTTCTATTCTATTTTTATTTTATTCTATTCTTTCAGAAATTCGGAAGACGGCTAAACTCGAATACACAGTCTTTGAAGGAAAGCAATAGTCAGCAATATAATTACATTTCTAATTTGTTTTCAAATTTGTTTGAAATCAGGATAATTTGTTATTTCGGACGAAATTTCGTTTCGGCATTTTGGATTTGTTACTATTGTAATTCGGATACATCCGAATCTCGGCATAACGAATAGTTAGTCCGAATTTCGATTCAAAAGAAATGAACCACACGTGTCTAATACTGTAGGCCTGACTCCACCAGGTTCGTGTCAGACCTCTGCAGAGAGACCACTGCTTTCCCATGGAGAGAGTCCTTCTCTGCTGCATGCTGGCAGGGGACAGGCTTTTCTCCTCAGGCTGTGGCTACTTTCTAAAGAAAACATACGGTAAGACTTTCTACGCCTTTTGTTTTGATGCCCCTGGAATTGTTTAGCTGATCTAAGCTGATCTAAGCACAGTTGGGTTGGCCTCCAAGTTCTAAAGCCAAGTTTGTTTGTTCTGAATAGGAGATGGAAGGTCTGACGCGTCTTTTATTGCAGTCCATGTTCATGCCGGGGGGCTCCAGCCCTTTATATTGATTCTGGTGACAAGTGTCCCCAGTTGTGGGAAAATCTAGAATTTCGGGCTGTCATTGGTACAGCGGTGACATATGTCTAAGATGGGGGGGGGGGTCAGCAACAGATCAGTGGTAATGGGCAGATTGTGACCTGGTCATTTGTGTGCCAGAAACACCCCCCCCCCCCCATTCCCCTCTACCCAACACAGTGAGCTTCCATTGGCTGCACCTATGGCACAGGAGGCAGGGCCAGTGCTAGACTATTTTGTGCCCTAGACAAGGTAGTTACTTGCACCCCCCAAAAAAAAAAAAATTAAAAATAAATAAAAATTTAAAAAACCAGTAGAAAATAATAAATAAATAAAACATGAAACTGCTAAATTTTTTTAATTTGCAAAAATAAGCGCCATGAGATGCCACCAACACCAATATTAACCCCTTGGCGCTGGCGCCTCCCGGCCCTTTAAGGGTTTCAGAAGCCGGGAGGTGGGGCGGAGTTTTAAGGTCATGTGACTGCCATGATTCGCTGTCACGGCGGTCACATGATCGGGAAACAGGAGATCGGGACCTTTCCGTGAGTCCCGGACATGTGTGCTGGGACCGCACAGGGCGTGCGCTCTCAGTACATATGTTTTTGTTAATTGCACCCAAATGTGCGGCTGCTCGGCATCTAGGCCCAGACGATGGGAGGTCACACATTTGTGTGCGGCTGGCATGAAGAGGTTAAAGACACAATCAGTGTCCCGGGCGGACGGTATCTGTGGCTGGCAGTGGCGGGGTGGCAGTCGATCTGTGGCTGTAAGTGGCGGGGTGACAGTCGATCTGTGGCTGGCAGTGGCGGGGTGACAGTTGATCTGTGGCTGGCAGTGGCGGGGTGACAGTCGATCTGTGGCTGGCAGTGGCGGGGTGACAGTCGATCTGTGGCTGGCAGTGGCGGGGTGACAGTCGATCTGTGGCTGGCAGTGGCAGGGTGACAGTTTATCTGTGGCTGGCAGTGGCGGGGTGACAGTTGATCTGTGGCTGGCAGTGGCGGGGTGACAGTTGATCTGTGGCCGGCAGTGGCGGGGTGACAGTCGATCTGTGGCCGGCAGTGGCGGGGTGACAGTCGATCTGTGGCCGGCAGTGGTGGGGTGACAGTCGATCTGTGGCCGGCAGTGGTGGGGTGACAGTCAATCTGTGGCTGGCAGTGGTGGGGTGACAGTCAATCTGTGGCCGGCAGTGGCGGGGTGACAGTCAATCTGTGGCTGGCAGTGGCAGGGTGACAGTCGATCTGTGGCCGGCAGTGGCGGGGTGACAGTCGATCTGTGGCTGGCAGTGGTGGGGTGACAGTCGATCTGTGGCTGGCAGTGGCGGGGTGACAGTCGATCTGTGGCTGGCAGTGGCAGGGTGACAGTTTATCTGTGGCTGGCAGTGGCGGGGTGACAGTTGATCTGTGGCTGGCAGTGGCGGGGTGACAGTTGATCTGTGGCCGGCAGTGGCGGGGTGACAGTCGATCTGTGGCCGGCAGTGGCGGGGTGACAGTCGATCTGTGGCTGGCAGTGGTGGGGTGACAGTCAATCTGTGGCTGGCAGTGGTGGGGTGACAGTCGATCTGTGGCTGGCAGTGGCGGGGTGACAGTCGATCTGTGGCCGGCAGTGGCGGGGTGACAGTCGATCTGTGGCTGGCAGTGGCGGGGTAACAGTCGATCTGTGGCTGGCAGTGGCGGGGTGACAGTCGATCTGTGGCCGGCAGTGGTGGGGTGACAGTCGATCTGTGGCTGGCAGTGGTGGGGTGACAGTCAATCTGTGGCTGGCAGTGGTGGGGTGACAGTCAATCTGTGGCTGGCTGTGGAGGGGTGACAGTCAATCTGTGGCTGGCTGTGGAGGGGTGACAGTGGCGGTGAGTGGAGGAGGATGGATCCACACTCTGACAGATCCCAGGCTGGAATTCCCCCGGCAATGGGGGGAAGTAAAACGCTGTGACAGCAGGCAGCTGAACTGAGCGATCCCACACAGTGACAGATCCGACACAACACACCACCACCAGCACAGACACAGATCAGCAGGCACTAGAAGAGCAGGGTGGGGGATCGCGATGATGTCATCACTCCCTGACACAGATCAGCAGGCACTAGAAGAGCAGGGTGGGGGATCGCGATGATGTCATCACTCCCTGACACAGATCAGGAGGCACTAGAAGAGCAGGGTGGGGGATCGCGATGATGTCATCACTCCCTGACACAGATCAGCAGGCACTAGAAGAGCAGGGTGGGGGATCGCGATGATGTCATCACTCCCTGACACAGATCAGGAGGCACTAGAAGAGCAGGGTGGGGGATCGCGATGATGTCATCACTCCCTGACACAGATCAGGAGGCACTAGAAGAGCAGGGTGGGGGATCGCGATGATGTCATCACTCCCTGACACAGATCAGGAGACCCTAGAAGAGCAGGCTCTGGGATCTCGAAGATGTCATCACTCCCTGACACAGATCAGGAGGCACTAGAAGAGCAGGCTG